AATGACCTCCTTGCACAGAGGGTCACGTGGGAGGTGCTACTTCGGCAGTCTTAGCTGCAGCCAGCCGGCTGCCTGCGCCCCTCAGCTGGGCTGGCCGGGGGCTGCTTGTTCCTGCTTGCGGGGGTCCCAAGAAGGCAGCCCTGCGTGTTGCCGCCATGGTGCGAGGCCCACCCCGTGTCTGCTCCTGCAGGGGAGGACCGCCTTGGAAGGCAGATCATCGCGTTCAGCTGCTGCCGGATGCCCCCCTCCCATGAGCTCGACCACAGGCGTCTGCTGGAGTGAGTCCCTTCCTGTGCGCACCCATGCGCACAGCCCCCCTTTCCTCGCCCTCACCCCGGGCACACGACCCCCAATCACACTCAGCACAGTGGACGTTCAGGGGCTCACATTCCTGGCTTGGTTAGTGGGTCCAGGTGGCTGTCACTTCGGCTGCTGGCCACCACCGCAAACTGATGCCCCCTCCAGCCCAGGGAGGGTTTAGGCCCCCAGCCCTGAGCCCTCGGGGTCGTGCCCTGTGCTTGTCCGGTCTCCTGCTGCTCAGAGGGGAGCACCTTCCTGGGGCCTTGGCCACCGTCCTCCTGCCCTCTGTCCCTGTCCCTGCCCCTGGCATCCCACGCTCTGTGCCGTGGCCGTGCTGCTCCCAGTGCCTCCCTCCTGGCAAGGTCCAGCCAGCCTCCTGAGCAGCGGCGGAGAGGGCAGCCAAAATGCCAATAGCAACGCTGCCCAAACCTTCGCTACAGGCAAGCGGGCGCCCTCGGGGCCTGGTGACTGGCTCGTCTGGGGAGGAGGAAGCTCCGATCCTAGGACAGCGGCTGCTCCGCCCCCACCGTGGCTGCTGCTTCAAGCTCAGGGTCCAGCAGGTCCCCGCCCAGGTGACAGTGGCCAGGGGACTGGCGGGACTTGCCCTGAGTGCCATGTCTGGGGCATTTCCTGCTTGTGGGACTCATGCAGGCACTCTGGGCCTGGAAACTGCTCTCCAACAACATGCTGATAGCACTTCACTCCCAGGGCCAAAGCGCAGCCCTTGCGGGGTGTCCTGGAAACAACTGTGTCCCCGTGAGGGACGGCGGACTCACTGCTGGGAACAGCTCGACTGCCACCACAGTTGGGAGGCTGTGCCAGGACTGCCTCCAGGTCCCACTTTCAGCTACTAAAGCTGACCAACCTGCCCCAGCAGCCTAGCATGGGGCAGCTGGGACCTGGGGCCCCAACTCGACATGAACGGAGGCACAGTCGGCTCGCGAGAGCACCTGGAAGCCTTTGGGCTGGTGTTTCCGTGAGAATCCCCTGACTGAAGCATCCCCAGTGGGCTTAAAGAATATTTCAGCAGCAGGAGATGCAATGGGGACGGTAAGAACCTTGCCGGGAGCCGACTCCCAGGGGACTCCTTAGCCAGTCCTGCTGCATGGCAAGGTCTTGCATCCACAAGGTGAATGAGGATCCCGGGCAGGACAGCGAGCCGGCCCCGCTGAGGGAGCCGATGCCCACCTGCAGCCCCCTTACGGCACACAGAGAGATGGGTGCCCAGGCCCAGGAGAGCCCCAATGCTCGGGTCTTCTGCAGTTAGCACATTCCCTTGCCGGATTGTGCCTTTGGTGGCATTAAATAACCCATGACCTGTGGGTTGGCTCTCACCGAGGACACCTTAGTGGGCTGGGAATGGGTTCTGGGTTTTCTTGCAAAGACAAAAGTATTGCCAACAGAAAGCCAGTTGGTGGTCAGCAGGGGCAGGGGACTGACTGATGGGTACCTGCAAGGGGCCCATTTTGGAACGATGGGCATGTTTTGGAACTGGGTGGAGGGGGTGGTCGCACAACATTGTGAATGTACTAAATGCCATGGAACGGTTCACTTAAAAATGGTTGATGTTATGAACTTCACTTCAATCCAAAAAAAAGAAAAACCTCTGATAATCGGTACATTGTGCTCTTCATGCAACTGCCTCAGAAACCTTCCCTGGCACATGAAGTGAATAGTTCTGTGGTTGATCACTGCACAAGGGCACTGAAATGAGGGGCTACCCCCAGCCGGTGCTCTCCTCACCCAAGGCTGGAAGGCATCCGCTTGGAGAAGGAGCACCTTTTTCTGATTTACTCAGAGGAGCTCTGTGGGCTTCTCAGGCTTGATGGGATAAGCCCTGAGGCTTAGCCTTTTCTGTGGCTTTAGGAAAAAAATCACTTAGACACAATCCTCCCTCACTCCCAAGCAGGTGGCTTTCCTGTGGCCAGATGGGTGCTCTCGTTTTTGAAATGGGTGAAGAAATAAGTCCCATGTCCGTGAAGCTCAACCAGCAATCTAGTTAATGACTTCTCATGCTGAGCCTGTGTGGCAGACATGTTCAGACACGAAGAGGAGCTCAGCACATGAATGGAAAGAATCGGGGGGCCTGTTGGGCCAGGGGAAAGGTGCCTGCTTTTACTGGAAGTGTCTGGTGTGGATAAGTAAGCTGAGCATTGACATTCCCCTGATTTCCCCTTTCTCGAAAAATAGTTGAGAAATGCAGACAAACGGAACCATCCTCAGAGGTGATGGATGTTTTCCCCGGCTCAGGGACTCGCTGTGACACTGGAGATCCTGCCTGGGCCCTGTCAGTGCAGGTGACTGCAGGGGGGGATGACCTCTGTGAATCACGCCCCGACAGCCGAGTCTGAAGGGCGCTGAGCCGATGTGCTGGAGACGTTGGGCATTGCAGTGGGCTTCTGCATGATATCAGCTTCGCATCATTTTTATTCGTCAAAGCAGATGATGGGGGAGCATGTGGATCTCTGGGGGCAGGACAGTGTGGTCAGCGAGTGGATGTGGAGCCAGGCTGCTCTGTTCAAATCCTGATCTGCCCCTCACAGCCGCGGTTGACTCCTCTGTGAAATGGGCCTATAGTACCTGCCCCACAGGGTCCTTGTGAAGACTGTGAGCAAATAGCATAAGGCCTGCAGTTCAGAGAGTCTGCCCCTTGTGCAGTGACTCCAAGACATTCAGGAATCACAGGAGCCAAGGAGGAGCCGACATCCTTTGGTGCAAGGTACCCGCCCCGCCACGGTGTCCCCGCAGTGAGGACCGTGAGTGCTTGTGGGTGGCGGAGGCCACCGGGGTGTTCTCCCGGGGAAGTTCTGGGGACCCTAGCCCACAGGAGCACCAGCCACACCCCTGGGCCCTGGAGCTCCCAGCAGGTGGTGTCTACACAGCACCTGTGTCACCATGTGCTTCCTGCTGAAGCCTCAGAGAAGTTGGGCCTATATTCCCGGCGCGCTGGGCTGGATTAATTACAAGTTGTGCAGCTAGTTAGTGGTGTGGATGACCTGAAGTGCCACAGCTCGTCAATTCCGTCCGGCAGACGATGGTGGGGTTTGGAACGGTCTCTCTGCGTCTCACCTCCCAAAGGGGGCTGGACAAGGCCTTTTGAGTGGGTCACAGAAGCAGAGGCAGGGAAGGACGGGGGGACTATGCGACCCTTGGCAGTGAGCATGCAGATTGGTGGGGTTTATACTGTGGGGTGCAGTCACAGAAGCAGACAGGGTCAGGATTCTGCTTTACAGTAAAAGAAAAAGTGTTGGGGACCAATCTGGAAAGAAGGACTTGCTTCTAGAAACACAACAGAACACCTGGGAGTCTGAGCTGAAGGGCTGAGGACTGGGTCTTGGGTTTGAATCCCAGCTCATCCTCAGTGTTTATTTCCTGTGGCTGTTAGAACACATGCCTCCACCAAATTCATCCCCTTACAGTCCTGGGGATCAGCGCTCCAAACCAAGGTGCTGGCAGGGCCATGCACCCTCTTTAGGGCGTCCCCCCTCCGGGGGAGGATTCCTCCTTGCCCCTTCTAGCTTCTGACGGCTGTCGACAGACCTGCACCCTCCTGGGCTGGTGGCCACGTCACTCTCTGTCTCATCTTCCCATGGCCATTTTCCCTTTATATCCGTCTTACCAGGACACATGTGATCACGTTTAGCACCCGCCTAAGCCAGGACAGACTATTCTATCATGAGTCTTAACTTAGTCACACCTGCAAAGACCCTTTTCCAAATAAGGTCATGTTTGCAGTTTCCAGAAATTTGATGTGGATGTTTCTGGAGGCTGTTTTCAGCCCACTGTAGTCACTTACTAGCTGTGTGACCTTAGGTAAGTTACGTACCATCTCTGAGTCTCAGTTGTCATTGAATAAATGACAAATCCCCCTACGGCGGATGCCCATTGTTGCCCTGGGTGAGTCCCCACACGGCCCAGTGCTGGCACCCACTGGGTGACCACAGCTTCCATTATGGAGGAGCATGTTTGGTTTCAGTGATGAGGACAGGGGTTTTCATGACTGACTCTGCTTTGTGCCCAGGTATTTGAAGTACACGCTGGACCAGTATGTGGAGAGCGATTACATCATCGTCTACTTCCACTATGGGCTGAACAGCCGGAACAAGCCGTCCCTGGGCTGGCTCCAGACCACCTACAAGGAGTTTGACAGGAAGTGCGTGTCCCCCTGTCTTTAGGGATGAACTCAGAGTTGGCTGGCGTGGGGAGGTTCAGGTGACAGCGGGGTCACCACAGTGCAGTGGGAGACGGAGTGGTGGAGTCCCCTCTCAGGGCCAGGGGCTCCATCAGGGGGCATAGGAGTTCTTAAAGGGCCAGACAGTCAGGATTCGGCTTCTGGACTGTCAGGTCTGTCATCTACAGAGCTGTGCCTCACAGCGGGAAAGCAGCCCCGGACAATATCTCAGCAAATAGTGGAGCTGCGTTCCAGTAGAACTTTATTTACAGACACTGAAATAGGAGTTTCAGGTTAGTGTCACATGTCCTGAACTATTAACCTTCTAATACTGTTTCAGTCATTTACAAATGTAAAGCCCTTCTTAGTCTGTGGGCTGAGCAAAAGCAGGGGGTACCTAGATCCCCGACCCTGGGCTGGTGAATCGCTGGCCGAGAGAAGGACTGCACAGCTGTCCCCAGGTGCCCTTCCCACCCACACGGCCCTGTATGGTCCACACCACACATAGGCTTTCTGGTGTCTCCTGTTGATGAGCTGGGTGGGCAGTGCGTTTTACTGACGAGGACACACAGGCCCCAGAGAGCAGCTGTCTCCAGGCCCCTCAGCTGGTGTGTGGCAGGGCTGGGACCCCCACCTGAGACCCTATCTCCCTCTCCTACCCACACCCCATGTTCCCCACCACTTGGGAATGCTTGGAGCAGGTGGATTCTCTCCTGAGCAACGTCCTGTGTGACCATCCACTTGGCAGTCTGTTTGGCTAACAGACTGATGGGTATAAATGTTGATGCCCTGATTCCTCTGGGGTTTTTTCTTCAAGGTCCTTCCAAACCTGTAATGGAGATCTAACATATGTGTGAGCTGGTGGGATAGTGGCAGGCAGTGCCTCATCCCCCAGAGCCCTCCCTCCCTCCCTCCTGTCTTGGGTCCTGATATCATTGTCCATAGAACCTTTGGAGGAATTTCTTGGATTCCTGTCCTGCATTGTAGGGAGGCTTGTTACTGCACTTTGCAATCATTTATCTGACGCTGTACATGCCGGCCCAGCAGGGGGACACCGCCAGGCCCCTGCTCTGGCCCTCCCCCATGAAGCTCTCCTGGGTTGTCCCCAGAGAGCCAGCAGCCCCTGTCCCTGAGCAGACTCTACACTTGCAAAGCGTGGCATTCATGAATGGCCTGCCTTCTGCTCCCAGCGCCTGTGTCCCCTCCCTCTGAACATTTCTAGCACGAGGCGCTCCAGGCACACCTTTCATTGTCCTCGCCCAGCCCAGGGCTCTGCTGTTTCTCCAGGAGCCCTGGTTCCTTTTAGAGAGCATGCTCTCTGTGGACCAGGCGCTGGAAGTTGGGTGCTGTTGCTTTTGGGGTTCCAGCTCCACACATGCATGTACACATGTGTACACACAATAGCAGTGTTTGTGTCCACACATGCCTGTTGCTGTGTGCCAGTGTGTTACACAGGAAGCAGGGCTCCCACCGACTCATGCACAGTCAGCCCTACCCCAAGGGTTCTGGCCCCTTTCTGCCCTTGTGGCCTGACTCACCTGGGCCCGCACCTCCTTACTCGCTTACTCATCAATCGCCCAGCGTCTGACTGACCTCAGAGCTACCCTTCGCACACACTGAGCCCGGGCACAGCCACTGTCAGCACCACATGCCTGTGAGCCCTGCTCACACCCCTGGCTACACCCGCTGTGGCTCAGATGCCTCCGTTGGCCTCTGCCCCTCCCCTGTCCTCGCCTCGCCCCGGTCTCGCCTGGGTACACGTTCAGTAACCAGCCCTTGGAGAGTTTGGGAGGCTGATGGTAAAGTCTGCGGGTTCCCATGCTGTGAAAATGCCACCACAGCCATTTTCAAGCTGCCAGCGCAATGCCACCGGACACAGAGCTGGGAATGAAGGGCAGCAGCCACCTGTATGCGGATTTCCACCCGCAGCCATAACACCTCAGGGCATGGGGGATGGTGAATATGGTAAAACAATCAGGCAACAATGAGTTTTGAATATTTATTACCATTGTGTTTAATATGATTTACTTAACTGTAAGTTTATATTATTTAATAATGACTATTTACACAACTGGCTCCCAAAATTCCTGAAAGGGTGACGGTGGCTCTGATGGTCTGCGTAAGACCTGGGCCCAGCACACCCCTGGCTGACCCCATGCCAGGCTTGCGGGCGCCCCTCCTCCCCTCTCCAGCGGCTCCTTGTCATGCCCCAGCTGCTGCTGCCCTGCCCACCCTCTGTCCCCGCCCCAGATGGGTGCACCCCAGCCCCCAGGCTCAGCCTGACGGCTTTGCAGTGAGTGCTTTGGGGATGGGGGAGGAGAGCAGCCGGGAAGCGCCTCGAGGCCCAGTGTGCGGTGTGCCGTGGCTCACGTAGCAGTGGCTCTGGTGGGGGCGCAGACAGCTCTCCTCGCCCAGGATCAGCTCCCAGCAGAGGAGGGTGGCGAAGGGCTCTGTGCAGGGTTCATTTCCAAGCTTTTGTCAAATTGCCCTCCAGGGTGTGCCCCACCCCCTGCCCTCCCCACCGGGAGTTAGTGGCTATAAGGGGGCTCTTACTGTGCACACTGTAAAGTCCGGTGTGCATGCTTGGTGAATGTCATGGGTGTGGGGCCCTGGTTTTCCCCTTCCAGTTCTGGCTCAGCACCCTCAGATCGGCTCTGTTGAGAGCCAAAGGCTCTGGGCTTGCGGCTGAGGCAGTGGCCTTGGGGTCGTCCGGCTTGGGGGGAGTGTCTGTGCCTCCTGCTCTGAGGTCACCGCCCGTCCTCTCCTTAGGTACAGAAAGAACCTGAAGGCCCTCTACGTCGTGCACCCCACCAACTTCATCAAGGTCCTGTGGAACATCTTCAAACCCCTCACGAGGTCAGTGGCATTCTTGGTGATGATCTCACTGGGGTGGGAGGCCCTGTCCCTTGGCACTGGGGATGGCTTCCCTCTCCAGGCACCTCTCCAGGAGCTTGTGCCTGGGGTACCGTGCCCGCCCTGTGCTTACGGGGTTGCGGAGCTGACGGTCGTAAACAGGAACACTGCTCACAAAAGCGGTGAGGTTTGCACCTGGTATTTTAAGTCCCGCCGTGACCTGAGCACCTCCTTTAGACACCTGTGTCGGGGTCCCTGACACCACCCTCAGGTTCAGCCTTTCACTACAAGGACTCACGGAACTCAGAAGAGCTGTTACACCCACGGTTCTGGTCTTTAAGACAAAGGACATAAGCCCCAGTGGTGAAAGGCACGCGGGTGGAGTGCAGGAAGACAGGCGTGGGCTTCCAGTGTTACCCCTAATGTTCATGCTGTCGGCCCTCTGTTCTCCCCACCATACGTGACACAGGTGGAGAGTATTGCTCTTTAGGGTAGCCCATCTGAGTCTTGGTGTCTAGGGTTTTTTTCGGGGTTGGGCTGTCACTTAGGCACAGAGCTGCAAGGTGACCTTAGTTACTCAGGGTGCGGCCCTTCCCACAAATAGTGGGACTCCTGCCTCGTGTCACAGTGTTGGCGTGAAGCATAGTGTGACCCCAGGCTCCAAGCACAGGCATCTCATCAGGCCGGACATCCCAGTGGCATAGCGATGTCTCCCCAGCCTCGCGGACCGGTCCTTTCTCGGGGCTGTGCAGGGTTGGAGCCGACCCTGACTACGCACGGCCCAGTGAAAGCCTGAAGAGATGGAGCTCCAGCCTGGAAACAAGGCAACTTCAGGTTGCTTCCCATCCGGCCTCTTTTCCCACTGGACCATTCCTGTCTCAGTTTTGGGACGCGGAGTTCAAGGGTATGTCAAGGCCGCAGGGGCTGTGCTGGGGCCACACAGGTGGCTCTCTGTCCCCCCACTGTGGCCGCATCCTTCAGGCACAAACTACGCACTGCTACATAACGGGTGGGGAGGTGATGAGACCCAGCGCACAGTGGCTCCAGCCATCTGCCTGCAGCGGGAGGGGTGCTTGGTGCAGGAGGGCACAGGTGTGTGCGAGGAGGTCAGAGCGCCTGGGCAGGTGGTTGCCTCCCAGCACCCCCAGGCCCAAGAGCACAGACGGCGCTGGGGTCCCAGGCACCTGCCTGTCCCCACCCATGGCTGCTTCCCTGGGGGAAGGGCTGCATCTCCCCCTTGTCCTTGTGGCCTGTGTCTGTCACTGCATCTGGCTCTTGGGGCAGTGTGGGCAAGCATTAGTCTTTGGGGCCTGGGACCCTTCGTCGCTGGTGTGGTGGCTGAATGAGGTCCTCCAGGCATGTCCCTACCCAAGTCCCTGGAGCCTGTGGATACGTACATTATCTTTCGTGGCAAAGGGGACTTTGCAGACATGATTGAGGTGTGGACGTCTGGATGGGAGATGGCCCCGGATCGTCTGTGGCCCAGTGTGGTGACAAGGGGCCTTGGCAGAGCTTTCCTGGCTGTCACCAGGGGAAGTGGTATGACGGGAGGCAGGTCAGCGACACGGCCCTGAGGATGGAGGAGGGCCGAGCGAGGGATGCGGGGCCTCATAAGTGGCGCAGCGGGGAAGCAGATTCTCCCCACCAGCTCTGGAAGGAGCCGGCCCTGCTGACGTGTGGTTTTCTCCCTCTGGGGCCTCTGTTGGACTTGTGACCTGAGGTGGTAAATGTGGAGATCAAGCCACTAGGTTTGCGATAATCTGTAACGGCAGCTGCAGGAAGCTAAGACACCGGGGCCCTGCTCCCCGTCCACGTCACTCATACTGTGCCACCTCTTGGCATCCTGTAGACCCTGCTTTTCTCACCTGGTGAGCGTGTACACATACAAGTGTGCTCACACATGTACACATCATCAGTGACCCCACTACTGTCTGAGGTGCGTCCCTGCCGTTTGCTCCGTGTCTGGCATCGCCAGGCCCTGCTGCCCCCAGAGCGCCACCTGCCTTGCCCCTGGGCCCTCATGTTCTCTACAGCGTGGCCTCACTCTGTGTACTTGTGTGTCTTTGTACCTAAGGTCTGCCAGGCTCAGAGTGAGGCCCTGGGGTCCAGAACTGGGAGAGAGGCAGCCACTGTCCTTGGGTACGTGTTCCAGCGAGTGGCAGAGTAGAACCTTCCAGTTCGACACCACCCAGTGGTCCCACAGAGACCAGCAGGGTGTCTGTGGCATGTGACGGAGGAGCTGGCCAGCTCCCTCCAAGGGGTGAAGTCTGGTGCCCCGTGGAGGAGGGGGTCTTAGTGGGCGGAAGGGTGAGCAAAACTCCCTCCTTCAGGACTGCCAGACCTGGGATTCGTGGTCTGTGATGCTGGGCCGCGTGGGTGGGGTCCCCTGGAGCTGTTCACCGCTGCTCTCTGGGCCGACTCAGGCTTGAGGAGGGACTTGCCAGCATGTCCTGTCATGTAAGGAGCGACCCCGGAGGGACACTGCCCGCCCCCCTTCAGTACAGAGTCCTGGGCTCTGCAGAAGCAGGAGGCCCGTGTGTTACCCGCAAGTTAGGCTGGGCAGGGCCGCAGCCAAGAGGAGGGGTTTCTGCCCTGCTCCAAGATGCCCTCCCTGTTAATAAATCCCGCTGTGACCCTCCGATCAGATCAAGGGGTTGTGGCAGGCTGACGTCTAATCTCCTGGAACGGAAAGCTCTTTAAAGGGAGGTACGTTGTCCAGGACGAGAGCTGCTCTGCCCGGGGAGTGGGAGCCTCTCTTGCCCCCCTCAGCTGCCAGCACTAATTGCTGAGGCCCTGACTTGTGCGGCCCTCCGGTGGGGTCAGATGCAGTTCTCGGATCTGCAGGCTCCACTGGGAGAATTCCTGGAACGGCAGGTCTGAGTCAGCTCCACTTAGTATGGGGGGAGATTTTTGTGGCCAAAGAGTTCATTATTTTTACTAGGATTCCCTGCCTATTTTCCCACCTGGTTGCCTGGGCTGCAGACATGCACCACCGGGAAGCTGGGTTTTGTTTGTGTGTTTTGTTATTTACCCAGGACCAGCACGCTGGGGCCATATTTGACGTAGTGAGAAAGCCGGTGCTGGTCACCCCGCTGCCCAGAGGTGGTTCAGATGTGCCTTCATTCACCTTAGAAAAGTTGAGTTCTAGACACCCCAATAAGTTCTTGGGGGGAAAATCACCTGCTACTGATGTTTGCAGCACAGTAGCCTAGATGATGTGGTGGTTCTGGAGCCAGACTGCCTGCGCTTGATCCTGCACTGCCCCTGACCATCCATTTGCCTGGGCAACAGGTGCCACTGCTCTCTGCCTCAGTTTCCCTGTACAGTTGATAACGCTACTTATTTCATTCCATCATCACAACATTTCACTCACTAAATACACGTAGGGTGTTTAAAACAAGGTCTGCCTGGCACCAGTAAATGTACCATGATAGCTGCTAGGGTTTTTTAATTTTTACTATTAATTGATTGCTTACTGATTAATTATAATTTTTTATGCACCTCATATGCCAGGCACCCCAAAACAATCCTATGAAGTCAGCTCTGTTTTCCTTATTCCAAAGGAGAGGAGGTAGATGCTCAGAGTGGTTAAGCAGCTTGCCTGAAGTCACACAGCAAGTTAAGGCTCTGCTGGGATTCTAACCCAAGCCTGTGTGGCTCTACTCCTGACCCTGCTCAGGTGTGGAGGTCAACGAGTGCCAGGAGAGGATCACAGGAGCTGGGGAGCAGGGGACTGTGGGCTGTGTGACCTGACTGAGACCTAGAGTCCTCATAGACAGTGCGACAGCTGTCTGATGCCTGAGAACAGGAGGGTCCCCGGGCTCGACCCACGCCTTGCTACTCTGACCCGTGTAGGTGGGGCCTGGTGATTCTGCCGCACGCCCTTGTTGGGATCTCCTGAATGAGCCGCCCAGGGGCCCTTCCTAGGCTGAGAGACAGGAAGCAGGGCCCTGTCTGCGTCTGCCAGCTGGAGGGGGTGAGGCAGAAACACAAAGGTGGAGGGGGGCTTCTGAATGGGCAGGGGTTATCTTCGAAGCCTCCCTGAACCTCCCAAGCTGACCCCTGTGTCCCTGCAGACGGTTCACGTGGAGTGGCCAGGCTCCCTTTGCCCCTCCGGGCAGCTGGGAGTCTGGGCGCCCCTTCTGATTCCCCTTACCCACTAGGGGGAGCCAGTGCACACGGCTCGGCCGCCCGCCGCTCCGGGCTCAGGGCTTGTGATAAATTGTCGTAAAACAGCCGTTGGTTACACGAGGGGAGGAGGTTCTGGATCCAAGGGACTGCGCAGGGCCTGCCGCTAGCCCTGCGGTGTGGTGCACTTGGAAACTTGTGTAAGGCGGTAGGTACATCCACGTGAAGTGTTCTTACCACCAAAACAGCAACAAAAGTGCAGAGGGGCACGAGGAAGCCTTTGGAGACAACGGAAATGCTTGTTCCCTCATTGTGGTGACAGCATCAGGCTGCACGCTCGTGTCCAGACCCATCAAACTGTACATGCACGTGACGTAGGTGCAGGCTGTGCACGTTGGCTGGGCTTGAGCAGAGCTGTAAAGCCAAAGCGTTCAGGTGATCGGCTCTGGGAGGGCCTGTGCCCGGCCCCTGCTGCTCACCCTTTGCTCCTCCCTTTCTCGTCCCCACTTGGCAGTTGGGGAAACTGAGGCCTGTTGAACAATATTCACAGGTAGTGATGCCCACCAGGTGTGAGACAGCGGGCTGCTTCAAAAACAGTCTCGCTTAGAAGGGAGAACCCCCATTTTCAAGGGGAGATTGAGGCCCTGAAAGGGGTAAAGTGGTTGGGAGGGCTCGACTCCATCGTGCTTGCTGCACTGTGGCCCCCAGGGTGGCACTGTCCTGGCAACATGGGGAGGGTCTTTTGTGGTCCCTGCAGCGATGTGGAACCACTGTGTCCCCTGCCTCCACGGGACCCCGCAGGGAGAGGAGACACCCCAGTGGGACAGCGCAGGCCTCTGCACCCCAGTGAGGGCCCCCCCGGCTCCCATACTGTCTCCTGTATCTATGCAAATTCACAGCAGATTCGAATTGGAGGCAGATATTTATGAAAGTGAAGCATCTGCAGACACATGCTACTTCTAGTATATTCTGGTTTCACGTCGAGTCAGCATTTACATTTTCCGATATAAAAAATGCCAGCATTGTTCCTCCAGCTCTCCTGCCACCAGCCCCCCTCCCAGGCCCCTGGCCTCTCTTGCCACCTCATTATTTTTATTCTCTTGCTTCTGCTTTTTCAGTCACAAGTTTGGGGAAAAAATCACCTATTTCAACTATGTGAGTGAACTCCGTGAATACCTCGAGGATGACCAGCTGACAATCCCCCCGGAAGTTCTGCGGTGAGTCAGACCCAGCCTGGGAGGCAGGGAATACACCTGCACGTTTCCACAGGCTTCATTTCCGAACGTGTGCCCGGCCGGCTCTGGCTCAGAAATCTGCAGCAGGGGATGCTAACCGCTGACTCAGAGAAGCAAAGCCGCGAAGCTTGTGTACAGGAATGAGATGTGTCTCTCTCCCACCATTGCAAACCTGATTTAAAATGTAGAAGCTATAATGGTAACCGCTGTTCTCTCTCTGCCTTGGTGTTCACTGGTTTTGTTTTGAGCAGAGATTTAGGGGGATCTCTTGAGTGTGTGGCTAACAGCGTGTGCGGAGTGGAATGTTCCCAGGCACATTACAGGCGCTCTGGAAAACAACCCATCCAGTGGCTTTTTGCTGAAAGTTAACTGTTCTGGCTGTTCTCCAGAACGTTCTCTGATGGTAGACATGGTCATCACTGTCCCTGTGTGGCTTTTGAGCACTGGAAATGTGGCTGGTACCATTGAGGCACTGAATTTCTAACTTTATTTTATGTTACTGTGTCTGCTACTTCATCTTATACACCCGCCGAGAGGGAACCCCCCTCTGATGGTCTCCCACAGTAGGGTCAGGTGAGCCGAGGAGGGTGTGTGGGCAGCCCTGGCCCCACCGCCAGGGCAGGGGCAGGACCCAGTCCAGCCCTGTCTCTAACCCCTGCCTGGGCACCCTCTGCTCTTTGCATCTCCCTCTGAGGGGCTCCTTTGAGGGGGCAGGGCCCTTGCAAAGCTGCATGCAGGTGAGGTTGGTGGCCTTGTGGGCGACTGGAGGTGTTAGGTTCCTGTGGGCACCAAGTGCCAGGTGCTGGGAACACAGAGCTGTGTAGAGAGTGTCCCTGCCCTCAGGATGTCCCACATCGTGGGGGCCATATGTCAGTGACAGCTGGGGCTGGAGGAGGCTCTGAACTCAGCTGAGGAGGGGATATCAGGGAAAGCTTCCAGGAGGAGGCGCCTCCCAGAGTGAGTTGCAAAAGGACAGTTGTCTGGATCAAGAGGCCAGGGAAGGGTGCTCCCAGCAGAGGGAAGCTCTCGTGCAAACACATGCGGGCTTGTCAGGAGAGGCCAGATACTTGATGGGAGTTGGACTGTGCTTGCTGCCTTCTGTGTGGACACTCCCCGGCAACGGCGGATGCGAGTGTGTGTGCATGTGTGTGCATGTGGCAATGTGGCACGTGGGCCCAGAAGGATGAGACTTAGGTATCCTGCAGACGTCCGTGGGGTGTGCAGCCCCCCACAGCACCTGGAGGCAGCCCCTCGTGGCCAAGGCTTCTCCCCTGCAGGGCGTGAGCTGATTCCTGTCGTGTCTGCAGGTATGACGTGAAGCTCCAGAACCTGCGCAAGGGCCCGCCACCACTTCCTGCGAGGACGCCACCGCCACGGCCCCCTCTGCCCACCCAGCAGTTTGGCGTCAGTCTGCAATAGTAAGTGAGCCCGGGGCGTAGCCTGCCCTTGTTTCCTCTGGGGAACTGGGGAACACTTCCATGTCCAGGAGAGTTTTGTTGAGACCTTTGCCTTCAGCAGCCCAGCTTAACCGTGAGGGAGGCTGAAGCATGAGCTGCTCGCTGAGACTGGAGGGCCCGCTTCTGTGTGTGTCTGCGCCCCTTTGCTCGGGAGGCCCACCCATAAGCAGAGGACCAAGAACCTGGGGTTCTCAGCCCAGCCTACGTCACTGCTGCTGCCTGGCTGTTCTGGCTCCGGAGCCGTAGGCCACAGCCAGGGCCCTTCCCACCACCTTCCAAGGAGGGATGGGTTGGGTCCCACTGGGCAGGAGCATCAGTAGCCGGGTTGCAGTTTGCCCCCGGTGCATCCCTGAGTGACCAGGCTGTGCCTCCCACCGACGCCCATGCTGGTCGCAGGACACCCGTGAGAAGCCAGCTGTTGGGTTCAGCCCCCCAGAGTTGGGGCTGAAGCTGTTGGGTGTGCCCCATCCTATCTGACTGATCTTACCCCTTATTAGTCACATGACCTTGAACTTGCTCCACCTCTCAGCTTTTTTCCTTATTTCTAGAGTGAATGAGTTGGGTGATGTGATCTTTAATCTTCAACAGCTGCTTGTAAAGGATTCTGGGCCGCCTGTCCAGGCTGACTTTGTCTCTTTCAAGACTCATCCCAATGGCACCTCCTCCAGGAAGCCTTCCTTAGTGCTCTAGACTGTACACGGAGCCCCTTCTCCATCAGAGCCTTGATCTGAGCAGGCTGCCATAGGGGCATCCTCCAGCTGTTTGCCCTGCTTGGCAGTGAGCTCCTTGTCCAGCCACATTTCCTCCTTTGCCTCTGGCAGTAGGCCAAGTGCCAAGCCACCTGGAATAACAGAAGATGAAGATGTTTATCCTGTAACCACAGGGGTGGCTGGGTCTGGTCAGCGTGCTGTGCAGGAAAGTCAGGGTCTAGAGCGCGGTGGAAGGGCCTGCAGAGCAGCTGGCTCAGTCCCACTTACGTTAGTCATTTCTTGTTAGAAATTTGCCTACAATTTGTTTTCTTACAAAAACCTGATGATCTTGAAGACCCACCCATGGTGGACCTGATATACTTTGAAAGGTTGACAATCAAGAAGGCTGTGAGTGGCGCCTGGGCTGGGGGGTTGGGGGTGCCTACCTGCCACGCCACACCTGTCACTTGCCTTCATGAGGCTCTGGGTGTGCGGACTCCTCGTCCTCTCTCATGGGCTCTGGGGCTACAGGGAGGCAGACATGGCCCTGGGGACCCCCTCTTTCTCCTTGGCCTAGAATGGGTGTGGTGGGCGGAATCATAGCCCCAGCGATGTCCCTGGAACCTGTGAATATGTCACCTTGCATGTCAAAGTGGCTTTGCAGACGTGGTTAAGGGTCTGAGATGGGCAGTCATCCTGAATAAGCCAGGTGGGCCCAGGTCAGCACAGGGGTCCTTATAAGAAGGGGGCAGGAGGGTCAGGATAGAAGCAGGAAGCAGAGGTTGGCGGGATGTGGAGCCATAGGCCAGGGAATGCAGGTGCCTCTAGAAACTGGAAAAGGCAAGAATGGACTCTTCCCTGGAGCCTGCAGAAGGAACCAGCCCCTGATAACCTTGTTTCCAACTACTAGGTTTATGGTAATGAAGCAGCCGTAGGTGGCAGGCCACTGTGAGGTGGGTAGCTGGGTGGGCATGTCGGGGAGGGGGCAGGCAGGTCTGCTTCCCATGCCCTCAGTGAGCACCAGCAGGGGTCCTGGAGATGGAGGGGGTGGGCCTGGCGGGTGAGGAGGTGGGAGTGGGTGCCTGGGTGTGTCACAGCAGCTAGAGAGGGCTGTTCTCCAGAACGTTCTCTGATGGTAGACATGGTCATCACTGTCCATGTGTGGCTTGTGAGCGCTGGCACTGTGACTGGTACCATTGAGGCACTGAATTTCTACCTTTATTTTATGTTAACTGATTTAAATTTAAATGCTCATTGGACGGCGTTGGACTTCACGCCTGCCTCTCCACTCAGCCCAGCATGTAGGTCGAGTTCCCTTAAAGGGGCCTTTTGTAAGCACTCATGAACGTAGGATATGTTCAAGTATAATGTGCCCCAGATACATCTGGAACAGAAGTTTACCACACAGCAATTCCTTTTCCTGTTCTGAATATTGTAAAAATGCTGTGACCAACCACGGCTAAAGGCCACCCAGGAAGGCGGGACTGGGAATCCACCTGCAGTGACCAAAGGCTCCTCTGGGGGCGCTGGTGAGAGCACGGCTCCCGGGTGAGGGTCCCAGGGAGGCCCGAGCCATTGTGCAACTGTTTTACCAAAGTTCCTAAGGCCTGTGCTGGGGGCCTCTGTACTTTCAGCCCATCCTGTGGTTCTGCGCTGACAACTGCTCTTGGGACACGGTGGCCCTTGGTGGTCACAGCTGAGGCCTCTGGTGTTCCCATCAGTCCCTTAGCCTGGTGGCTGCAGCAGTACTTTCTGGATTTCCTCTTTAGTTGTTCAGAACCACTTGTGTCTCCTTATTGCCAAATAAAACTTTAAAAATGAAAATAAAAAAACCAAACTCATGGATTCCCAGCACCGTCTACCTGTGTACAGTGTGGGGGAGATTGTTAGGACTTAGCTTCGTCCTCACCGGGGCACGTTCGGCCTTCTGTTTGGAGCAGGTGCCTCTCTGAATGTGTTGACACAGCAGTTGAACTCCAGAACTGTCAGTCATCAGATCGAAGGCAGATACTAGAAGTGTCTGTTGTCAAGGCCATGGTTCATTCCTGTTCTAGGGCTGGTTATACTATAAAAATCAGTTCATTATATCTTTAGAGAATGAGTGTCATTGGACAAACCTTCGAAAAACATTCTGTGTGTGCCACTTTGAGAGATAATCCATGTGATTGCTGCTTTAAATTAATATTTTATGCTGTTTCATTGCAAATGACTATAATAAAGTGGCAATAAACATATTAAATAAGGCACCAGATATGTAATTTGTTTGGACTATGAATGAATGAAAGTCATTAAAATTCATAACCAAATCCTATTCACAAATGTTAATTCGCTGAGCTAAGTTCAAAAGCACACAACAGAAAACCATCACCTTAGAACAAGCTAATTAATTTAATATATTAAAGGGAAGTTAGAGATTCAAGAGATCTTTGCTTGTTTGCCATCCCTAAAGGGGGAAGATGGAAGTGTACATATGCATTTAGTACAGCCCTATCTGGGCAGCTGTGGGGTATTGGAAAGAGGGTGGAGCCTCCTTAAGGGCAGGTCATATTCCCTTAAGTTCTGACATTCCCACTTTGGGAAATCAAGCTAGTGATCTAAATTCTCATCCTGGTTTCTTTCACTGTAACTAGAGTTGAAACCCTGCCCTCCTCACCCTCTAGGGCTAAGGGAGCTTAACCATAGGGTGTACAGACAATGTGAGCCAGTTCCTACTGTCCAGCTTTCCTGCTTTTATTCCTTCGTAGTCCCCTTCTCCAGGAAGCCTTCCCTGTTATCCCACACAGACTGGGACCATTTGTTAAAGACTATTCTTTCGTCCATTGAATTTCTTGGCATCCTTGTCAAAAAGTAATTGACCATAAATGTGAGGACTTATTACTGGACCCTTAATTCTTTGAGCACCACACTATCTTTATTACTGTGTCTTTGTAGTAAGTCTTGAAATTGGAAAGTGTGAGTCTTTCAACTTTGATTTTCTTTTTCAGGATTGTTTCGTCTATTCTAGGTCCCTTGAATTTCCATATTAATTTTAGAATCAGCTTGTCAATTTCCACAAAGAAGCAGCTGGGATTTCAGTAGGAATTATGCTGACTCTGTAGGTCAGATGGGAGGACTGCCATCGGTATCATGTGCTCCAATCCAGGAACACAGGATGTCTTTCCATTTACTTGGATCTTTACATTTCTTTCAATAATGTTTATAGTTTTCAGTATACCTATTTTGTACTTTGTTGTTAAACTTAAGTATGTTATTCTTTGTGATGCTATTGTAAATGAAATTGTTTTCTTAGTTTCACTTTTTGGTTTTTCATTGCTAGTGTACAAAAATACAGTTGATTTTTGGATACTGACTCAATATCTTATAACCTAGCTAGACTCATTTATTAGTTCTAATAGATTATTTCATGAAAATGTTTAGGATTTTTTATATCCAAGATCAGGTCATCTGTAAACAGAGAGTTTTACTTGTTCCTTCCCATTCTGGATGCCTTTTATTTCCTTTTCTTGCCTGATTGCACTGGCTAGAACCTCCAGGACAATTTGGATAGAAACGGTAAGAGCAGATGTCCTTGTCTCGTTCCTGGTCTTACCCAGAAATTAAGTTTTTCACCATTAAGTGTGATGTTAGTTGTGAGTTTTCAGTTTCCTCAACCCTTTATCAGGTTGAGAAAAATCAGGAAGGAAAAATCCCTTCCATTCCTAGTTTGTTGCGTGGTTGTTTGTTAATTGTCCTTCACGAAGGGGTGTTAGATTTTGTCAAATGCTTTTTTCTTGCCTCTATTGAGATGCTCACACAGCCTTTGCCCTTTATTAATGTGACACATGACATTAGTTGATTTTCATATGTTGAACAAACCTTATATTCTTGGGCTAAATAACATTATCATATTACATAATCTTTCTATAAATTGCTGGATTTGCTTTGCTAGAGTTGATGTTTTTGTGTCTGTATTCATAAGAAATAATGATCTGGGCTCGCCTTGTCTTGCCACGTCTGTGTCTGGTTTTGGTAATACTAGCCTCCTAGAACTGGGAAATGTTCCCTCCTCTTCTATTTTTTGGAAGAGTTTGCACAGGATTAGAGTTAATTCTCCTTTAAACATTTGGTAGAGTTCACCAGGGAAGCTGTGTTATCTTGAGCTTTTCTTTGTGGGAAGTTTAAAATTACTCATTCAATCTCTTTACTTGTTACGTCTGTTCGGATTGTATATTTATTTCTTCTTGAGTCAGTTTTGGTAGTTTTGAGTCTTTAGGAATTTGTGCATTTCATTCG